GGAAGAGATCATTCCCCAATTATTGTCATTGGTAAAACAAACTTGGTTTAGGGAAATTAGTTTAATTTATTGCAAATCAAATCAGAGTAGTCTAATGAGATATAAAAGCTGAATCTTAAAACAGCTTCACCCCTCCACCCTTCTCCCTTCTTCCTGGGCTTAACTTCACTCTGGATTTTCTACACCTCTTCCCCCACAGTGGCACAGAGGGATGGGGAATGGGAACTGTGGTCAGTCATTACATGTGGTTTCTACTGCTCCTTCCTCCTCAGGGACAGGATTCCTCACACCCTTCCCCGGCTCCAGCTTGAGCTCTCTCCCTCTGGAGACAGTCCTCCATGAACTTGTCCAACACGCATCCTTCCCTCGGGCTGCAGTTCTTCATGAACTGCTCCACTGTGGGTCCCGAGTCCTGCCAGCAAACCTGCTCCGGAGGGCCTCCTCTCCCCACTGCCTCCCCACAGATGCCGCTCCAGCACGGGCTTCCCACGGGGTCACCGCCTCCTCCGGCATTCGCCCGCTCCAGCGTGGAGTTCTCCGCGGGTTGCAGGGGGGTACCCGCTCCCCTATGGCCCTCCCCGGGCTCCGGGGCACAGCTGCCTCCCCACGGTCTGCACCACAGACTGCCGGGGAACCTCGGCTCCAGCCGAGAGCTCCTCCTGCCCCTCCTTCTCCCCTGACCTTGGTGTCTGCAGAGCTGTTCCTCTCACATATTCCCACTCCTCTCTCTGGCTGCAACTGCACAGCTTTTCCCCACTTCTTCAATCTATTGTCCCACTGGCACCATAGTGGCGGCTGATGAGCTTGGCTTTGGTCAGAGGTTCATCCATCCTGGAGCTGGCTGGCATTGGATCTGTCAGATATGAGCAAAACTTCTGGAAGCATCTCACAGAACCCACTTCCGTAGCTTCCTCACTTCTGAAACCGTACCATGCAAACCAATACAGCTTATTAATCTACTAATTCTACTTCTTAGTAAAATTAATTTAATTCTACTATTGCAAATACACTGTTTCTGAGACTGAAAATTATTAAGCTGTATGTACTTACCCAAAGAGTACCTCTTCAGTAGAAGGATGGCTGTCCTTAGAAAAAGAAAATTATTACAATGACTCATTTTGGACCAGTTTACTGAGATAGTTAAATTATGCAACATGCTCTTTCTTTTTGTCCGGCAAAATATTTAAAATTACTTTAGCCTTCAGCAGACATTGTACTGAATATTTATGGGAGAAATAAAACCAAACCAAATTAGCTACTTAAGACAAACTTCCAGTTTATAAAACAACTGATGTCATTTGAATATTTTAATCTGCTTTACTAGCAGTGCGATCAGACAGAACAGTAAAGCATTGAAACACCATTTTACATTAACATTACAAAATACAGCAATTTTTTTTTCTCTATGTATTTACATAAGCAAACATACAGGTATTCAAAATAGAATGCATCTCACCATCTGGCAATAATTACAGAAGTACAGTGCTTGGTTGACTGGATGGAATAGAGACATAGGAATTTTTACCCTGAAGTGTAAAAAGGATGCACACCAGCTTAGGAGATACATGGTGAGCTTCATGTCTTTGGACATTTTTCAGATGCAGTCTTAACAGTAATAAAATGTAAATCTACTTGAAAAATTGATGCTGAAAAGTTTTTTCAGATGAAGTGTTTTTTTTGGATGCAGATATGACCGACTGACTCAGCATGCTTTTTCTGTGAGGTAGGGGAAGGCCCTAACCTCTGAACCAGTCTATATGAATGTCTTCTCTTTTATTTTAACCTGAAAAATTACAAAAAGTTCCATTCTAGTCTGATGCATAATGAAAACACATTTTTTTGGAAGCTGGAAATGTTGCTCTGAAGATGGTCATATTAAACCATAGTGTTCATTCCAAGCATGGGCCAAGTGCTGTAAATCCTAGTTTAAAACAGATGAACTTTGTCATCTGTCTGCAGTATAATGAGTCCATTAATTGCTGTCTACTGATGAACAACCTCTAGCAGATTTGGCATGGCAGCTAGAACAAATTCATATCCTGACTCCGTCATCCTCACTAAGGCAAACTGCACAAAAATCTGTTAATATTTTGATGCAGGGTGGCAGAATCAGGCTTTTCTAAGCTGTCAAAAATGTCCATAAAGAGTGGTCTTTATCTGCTGTGCATTCTTGGCCTTGAGAGGCTTCTTAGGCAAAAACTGCTGATCACTCAATAATACCATCTATCTGAGCACTCCAGAATCAAAACATCAGGCATCAGTTTTCCCCGCTTCTAAGCAAAAATTGTTATGTTCTCTCCAGCTATCAATTAATTAAATGCTGTCAAGTCCCTTATGTCCAAAACATAGGTTTTATTTTAATAAGCTGGGAAAAAAATGATTGTTCAGAGTCATCTTGTAATGAAACTTCAATCCAGTAATTGAAACCCTCTGTGATTGTAGTGAAACATTCCCTGTCAGTATTTGCAACCTGAGCAATTGGACATTGTGAACGAGGAACAGAAGGTGAAGTGAAAGAGAAACAGAGGGCTGAACTGCTCTGCCACACGGGCAAAACGCAGACGGTAAGTGGAGAGCATAAGCACTGAATGTGGAATGTTCAGTAACAGTTTATCAGCTGTGAGCTGGTGAAAGAGACTGTGCAGAGCAGCAACCAGACCCTCAGGAGACTTGTGAGGAACTGAGCTCCGGTGAAGTGCAGGGTGCAATGTACATCATACAGGATGCAGATGGGCTTTGCTTCCTGGCAGAAGTGGGCGATGAGACCCAAGCTTTCTGTCCCACTTACTTCTTTCCTTTGCAAGGCCAGAGAAACTTGCATCAGGTCAGGCATAAATGGCAAAAAAAGGTGGCAATTCCCTCCACTGGTAGGAGCCTTTTTGTTTCCTTTCCCCTCAAATGCAGGTTTAGAGACCTTCAGTCCCCTGTCAATATTCATCCTATGAAGGCAATCTGGTTTCATGGCAGATCTAGAGCCTCAGGCCTCTTCTCACAAAATACCTTTGCTTTTATTACTGCCTGCTTATTCCCTGAGATACCTGTTTCCAAGAGCAAATCCTCAAAACCATCACCCCAGTTGTGGAGTGGAAACATCTGGCCTGTGGGATACAACGTGGATATTGTCCTTAGCTCAAAGTGCCAGATTTAGGGTCAATATCAAACTTAATGGAAATAGTGGAAATCACTGCTCCCACCTACTACTATGGTAGTCCTCATATTCAGCTGCATTTAGCAGATTCCCCCTGGAATCCCTTCTTTGCCAGTGTGACATCCCTCACACAGTGCTGTGTAGGAGAGGGATGTGTGCATAGGGAGGTAGAAGCAGTAAGCTCATTTTTGCTTCTGCTGAAGCTGTTCAGTTTGACTGCGGTGATCAAATGTACCCAGAGACAGAGAGAGCATTTAAAGCACCTGGTGAGCACAGCATTTATTCCACTTGATTTGTCAGTTCATCCTAAATGACCAGTTTTGGGGGGAAACCCATGAATGTCTGCAAGGTGATAGATGACATGCATGGCATCATCACTGTGAGTGGGGCTACAGCATGACACTTTGTCCCAGACATGGAGGCTGAGGTCTGTGGGGTGAGCCAGTGTCATCGTGTGCATGCAGAGCTTCTGTGTGACCAGTCAGTGCACAGTGACTCCTACCTATCCCATGTCAGAGGAAAGGACTTGTAAAACTAGCAGATTTAGTTATACAATCTATATGACAATAAATCAGTTTCTTGGAAATCAAATACCCAGCCAACTTTTAAGCCCTTGTCTGCCATAGATCAGTATCTTAAGCAAAAGGCCTTCTTCCAAAGGCTCCCACCTGGTAGGCTAGAAAAAGGTTCAGTTTCTCTCTGTCTTTCTCCTTCTTTGACTTAGTAGAAATTTAATTGCTCTGTAAAAACTGAACAACTTCAATAGAAGGACACATGAAGGCATTGAGGTTTTGCTTCTGGATGGGCGGTGTTTTTTCCAGAGAAACTGGAATACATCCTGGTTCTCATAAGATTATGGCTGCAAAATTCATGGAATGAATCAAATTATTGGATTTAAGCTTTGCATGAATGCAGCATTTATATTTCTCCTCTTCAGCAAAGTCCCACTGGCCTTAGTGACGTTGGCTATGATGCCTGAAAGAAAGGAGTTTCATGACTAAGCATGTCTGTCAAGTAATGTATTTTATGTTCTTTATGCAATGTATCCTGCCCTTGGATCTATGCAGGTGAAATCAGTGTTGTTTACAGATCCTGTTATTTTTCAAGTGAGCCCCATTTGCCCATACATATTTCATTAAGGCTGAGTCCTAGTAGTGCAATCTTCTGACCATTCCTGAGCAATCTGCCTTAACAGCAATACAGTGAAACAAGGGAAAACTATTTTTATCAACTAACAGTTTTCTAATAATTCTGGCCTTACAAGCCCTAAACCAAAACCAGAACATTCTTCATAATGCCCTTTTTTAACCAAAGAGAAATGATGAGAGAGGATCTGCTTCAGCCTTTTACTGAAGGCTTTACTCATGCAAAACTTCCTGTGACATTGCTTAAACCAGACTTTGTTGGAATTGTACAGAGTTACGAATCTGGAAGTGATGCTGAAAATTATTTAGCAATGTTGTGCCTGGTTTTCCACCGTTCTCTCACTTCCCCTCCCTGTCAACAGCAGTGGGAGGGAGCAGGGAATTAACACAAATAATTTTGAAAACATTATTTTCAGTTTTTAAGCTGAACATGAAATTTTTGAATGCAAATAAATTACAAGTCCTGAAATAAAAATTACAAGTGGTGGTAGAAACAGAGGATTATTCAAGTATAATTTACCTTTGAAGATTGCTTATTTGAAATACAGAACAAATGGCAGAAAAGCCCAGGGACATTTCAGGATGGTTACTGAGGAAGAAAAAATGGCATAAAAACAGTTAACAAAATGTCCATATAATTAATCTATAGCAGTTTTAATAGATTTTGTTTAATACTTTAAGATTTATTTTAAATATATATTTGCAAATGAACCGTCATATTATTTAAAATTCCATAAAGTGCTCATTCAGTTAATGATAACAAAACTCAATTGTAGCAAGACAAACTAGCTGGAGCCTACTCTGCAAGAACATCAAAGGACAGCTTAGCTTTCATTGGCAAAGAGAAAAGAATTGTGTAGGTTTCTTCATAGCCCATATTATAATACAGAAATTGCATTTTTTTCTTTAAGAAATATATTCTTTAGAATATTAAAAAAATAAGTTTAATAAAGCCTGTGCTTAAAACAGCCAAAGTACTGTATGAAAAAAAATTGCACATTTGATACCCTTTCAACCCTGCTTTTCATACACAGGATAATGGGAGGAGTATATGATGTTGTCGGAAGGTCTCTTGGACACAGCTGATTTTCCTAAGCTATCAGAGCTTCTCACAGCAGGTGAAATTTTCAGCACACACACAGTGGTTGTCATGGCAGCTGCTGACCATCACACACCACTAACCTTTTCGTTCCCTGGGCCGATACTTCCCTTGGAGGTACCATCTAAACGATGTGCTCCTATCGTGACCGTCGAGTAATCCTTAGCCATCATTTTCGCCTCTTTTTTCAAGCTCTTCATTTGTGCTAGCTGGAGCTGGCTGGAGTCATATGCAAGTGCTGGGATAGTGTTCACTAAAATCAGCTGGAAAGGTTTCTTCTCCTCCTTGTAGCGACACTGGATGTAGCGAGAGAAAGCTGAGCGGTAGGTTTTGTTGAACAACGTGTACACGAGTGGGTTGACAGCTGAAGAAAGGTAGCCAATCCAAACAAATATGTTAAGAAGCCCTCCAATGACCTCTTCTTTGCATGACTCCTTGCAAATAACAGCCATCACATTGGTGATGAAAAATGGGCACCACATCACAACAAACAGGAAGAAGACAATGCCAAGGACCTTGGAAGCCTTCTGCTCATTGCTGATGGATTGCATTGTTCTCCTCCCTGAAGTCCCTGTATCTCTGTTCAAGGAGCGCTGAAAGAGTTTCTCTGAGGACAGGGAACTCTGAGGGAGGAAGCTGAATGAAGTAAACTTGGTCTTAGGGCCAATGTCATTCACACATAGCATAGCTTCCTTTTGCAGCGACTTGATAGTTAAAAAGTAAGTGACTACCATGATGGTTAGAGGGATGAAGAATGCCACAAAAGAACCTACTAGAACAAAATTTTCATCTGCGAGTAAGCAGATGTCTTTCTTAAAAATGTCTTTCTTAAATACTTTGGAGTCATCTTGTAGTCCAAAGACAGGTACAGGCATGGAGATACCTGAAGGTGGATGAGAGAAAGAAGAGGTTAAAAACAATAATGAAAAACACTTCCAGCCTCCAAGAAGAAGCAAACATCTACCTGTGTTCTACCTGTGGCTGAGGTGATCATAGCTATACGCATTACCTCAGCCATAGGTAGAACACGTTCGCTTCCTTCCAACTGTCCTATGACACCTGGTAGCCAGAAAAGCATGGGTTTGGATCTTGGGCCCCTTGTAATGATCTCCAGACTTGCTCCTTGGCCCCTGCCACCTTGGCAAAGGATTTTATGAACTATGGCCAAAATGACGCTACGTATTTCTTTTCTGGAGTGGCATAAGAGTGATCTTGGACTGTTTTTCATTAGAGGATTAAAAGTGTTATGGGTTCTAAATAGGCTGGGAAATACTAATTTTAGGAGGAAAGATAGTTTTTTGTGATAGGTCTAAGAGTAATCTTTCATTGTCTTTTGTTGCTGTCATCTCCACATAGTCAACACAGGCTAAATGCTAAAAAACCCCAACTTTCTATGTGGCAATAGCCAGATGAACAATGGGAACAAATTAAGCACTGAGAGACACTGACAGGAGGCAGCCTGAGGTGTAGTTTATCCTGTAGGACTGCAAAAGTCCTTTCACTGTGTTTCCAGCTGCTAGAGGTTACCTTCTCTCTGCACAGCTGTGCAAAATTTGTCTTCCCCTGGAGCATGCATCCTTGACTTGTCATGAATGGCAAGACAAGGTGACAAAGTCCATTCTCCTTGGACTGCTCTGTCTGTTTCAAGCCTACTCAGCCATTTCCTCAGGGATTTCTGCAAATGCTGCTAGGGTCTAGGTAAAATCAAAGCGCTGCTGTTTCTTTGGTTGTTGGTTTTGGGGTTTTTTTCAGCGTTTGTCTCTTCCCCTCCGAATGGATGCTGTCTCTCCAAGAGAGGCCATGTTCAGACAATGAAAGAGATTATGTGCTGTGAAGATGGCAAAAGTGGAGCGAAGCAGGGGGTGATAATGCAGCCCTGTTTAGATAAAAGCAGAGAGGAGCCTGACTCCTGTGGAAAGTTAGCATAATCTGGGAGCTTCAGTCCCGTTTGCATTTTGGAACAGAAATCCCAGTTGCTGTATTTAGCTTATGTGAAATAAAAACATTGACTAGAGAAGAATTTCCTGTGGTGTGAGGATGTTGTGCCCTACTTTGTTCAGTGGATGCCAGGAGTGTTCTTACTGGTTCACAGACGAGTCCTGAAACATCTGTATTTCAATGGTACATCTCTCTATCTCTCTTTCTTTCCCTTCTTCCCACTCTGCTGCTTAAACTGGGAGCCCTTTAAAAAGCATAGCCTGTCACTTCATTTCACACATATCCAGTGCCCAGCATAACAGCTCCAGTCCTAGGGGAAGGCTGTGGAGTACAGGCTCAATACCAAACAATAATAATCACAGTAATAATAATATTAGATCATTATTCTGTTCAAGTGCTTCATTCTTTTTGTTCTTCTGGAGCTTCTACAAAGATCTTTCTTTTTCTAGGAACACTGTGGCTTATTTTGTCTGTAACTTTGAACTGAGTCATGGCATTGCCTCAGGCCACTTTAGAAAAGTGCTGTTCTTATCTGCCCAGGGCAGAAGCTGGTGGAGAGCCTGTGGTATTGCCCTTTCTGTTTCTCCTGCACAAGTTCTAAATGCTTGAACTTGGGCTAGGAGAAGCCAGTGAGTGAGATGCAAACTTCTGCAGTGTGGAAGTTCCTGAATTGAGCTGACAGAAACCTCCAGTGTTTCTGTCTACTGGCTAAAAAGGTCTGAGTCTGTCTCTCTGAAAGCACGGAAGAAGAGGTCACCATCAGAAGCCAAACTATCCAGCCATGGCTGAGTAATCTGGGATGTTGAACAACTCCGGGGAAATGAGGAATGCTTTGAAGTTAGTTTTCTTTTTTTGGATGAGTTGAAGGGGTGCTGAAGGCATCCAGCACCTCCCAGCATCATACTCCAGCTGCACGAAGACACAGCATTAGTCAGAGCAATACCACAAGTTTCCCGTCTGCTTCTGCCCTGTGTTGATAACAGCAAGGCTGTTTTTTCATTTAATTCAAAGACGTAGTGTGAGCTTCAGAGATAAAATAAACCATGGTATTGACAGAGTAAAAAAATGCTTTTCATTACTACCTTATGGTTCAGCTGCATGAGGAAGCATGGGAGCAGAGGCAGCAGTGCTAGAAAGAGGAAAATTTTAGCATAATTTGCAAGCTTTTTCAAGTAAAGGGCCAAAGTCTGTTACAACTTCTCACCTGAAACAAGAGGAACAATTCCCCAATTGCTTTATTTTGTTCTTAGCAGCTTCTGGAGACTGGCGTCTAAATCCAGATTTCTGTCTTTAAAAAATGGAAATGAACTTCAGCATGTAGCAGAAGTTCCTGTATGTTTTTGCCATTCCTTTAACAAGCACAAAAGTGCTGTACCAGCAGAGCTGTAGCAGGCACTGCTAGTCACATATGTTTTTCTGAGTGACCATTCAAGACATCTTTCCCCTACAGCTGCAGGGAAGTGGCCTGTATACAGTTCGAAAACAACAGAGATACCACACTTTGGTGGCAGGGAGCTCTGACAGCTGTAAACTGCTTTTTTGTGTAACCACAGTTCAGTTGATGCAGGGCATCCCCCAAATGATATTGTGGCATTCCTGCATGGAAAAAGTTAATGTCCAAAAGTTGATTTTCTCTTTTCATATCTCTGCAGGGACTAAATTTACTGTTTCCCTCCTGAAAGGGACAGGGTTTGTCCCCCCTCAACGGTTGATTTCTGCAGCATAAATATGGCAAATTCCATGAGAACACAGGGACCAAATTCAAAGGCAGTAATATTTAAATTGTCCCTAAAGGAGCTTCCGTGTGCAACTCACATACACTATTTTAATGGGAATCATCACATATGACCAAGAATATCACCCACATGTCACATTTGGTCAAGATCAAATTTGTCCTCTAAACCAAACAATACTAAAATTATTACTTTTTTGTTATAAAAATAACAAAAAGACTTGGCCTAAAGTTGCATTAGCATTATTGCAACTGACTGAATTAATTCTTTAAAAGTTGAACATGAATGATCTGTTTCACCTGGATGATTCACCTGGATGTATACTCGCTGGTTTACTTGTCCTTGCTTTCCAGCTCCCTGCTCTTGGTGACTGGATGTTTAAGGCACAGATGGTGCCTGTGCATTCATCCATAAGAAGAAAATCAGCTTCACAAGAAAGGATCATGCAGAGCTACCAGAAAGGGACAATTGGGAAGTGAAGCATGTGCCAGCAGTAGGTCTGGAGGAGACAACCTGGAAGGGCTGTAACAGAACAGCTATTCCACACCCTGCCCATTTCATGCTCCCACTAGCTCAAGGTCAGTCTGGAAAAAATCTTTGTATCCCCTGAGGACTTTTTTATGGTTTATTTTAATTTGCTTTCAAAAGAACTAATCTGAGGCACAAGGAAGCATTCAGCACAGAATAGGAGCATCCATTCAAGCGCTGAAGGTACATTAGCCACTCCATTTCCAGTTGACATTCCCACTTAGAACATTTTCCCTTGTGAACAAGCCCTAAATATTATGTTCCTCTGGTACAAAGTGGCTTATTTATATGGTTTCATTTATACACATGTGGCTGCTTCAAACTGTGGATTTTAATAAACTGCACAACAGATCCCAAACAATAAAGATGAGTAATAAATTCTGCATTAAACCACAAGAATTTGGGCACAGTTTCAGAATGACAAAAGGCTCTTGAAACCAAAGGTTAAGAAGTAAAGCAATGGCATCCTTTTTGTTCTCTCAAAAAAGCCTGGTGAAATTGACAAAGCTTGGTATGGTGGTACACATTGCTGTCTTCAGAGATATAAAACCAGTTTGTTTAACTGGAGAGGTATATGGGGTTTGCAGCTGCCTTGAGCTGCTGAGACTGTCAATAAATCAAAGCTATAATTTACAGTGTGCGTGTAGGGTGGCACACTGGGGTTACTTGGGATGAAGGCAAGGAGAGGGAAGTGAATTGATAAGGTCAAGGTTCTTTCAGTGAAGTCTCCTTTAAGCAGAACCTATCAGTCACATGCTTTCACCACGCATATATCCATTTCAATTTTGTTTAATACAAATGAGTATTATTTTGTGCCTTAATAAATGTCCAAGGGTTAGGAACTACCTTTTAGAAATGTAATTTCTCAAAAACTTTGGCACCTGTGTTCACCTTCTCATGAAAAACAAGAAACTCTCCCCGTCTCAGGTCTTAGCAGTCACACTGATTCAGAAGTACCGGGTCATGGGCCAGCTCACAGGCCACTGCACAAAGATGTGCTGTGACACTGGGGACCTCTGAAGGGATTGCTGCTTGGGAAAGCCAGTGTGTCCTTCAAGCAGCTTAGTGTGGCCATACTGCCTAATTTCTTTAGAAAAGCCCATGCTGGTATCTGGTGCTTATTTGTACTCAGAAAATATCCTTTGTTGGTACATCTACACATTCAAACAGCAAAGAGATGTCAATGTGTAACTCATCTGCTACATCCCAAGGCAAGCAATGCATACTCTCAGTCTCATGTTGCATAAAAATCTCCATGTTGCACACTGCCATCGCATTATTTTCAATATTTTTTGCTTAATTAACCACACAAAATAATATTTATTCCTTTGGGCTACCATGGGTGGATGTTTGTTTACTCAAGAAACACAAGCCACAGTGAGCCACTTGTGGCAGGGGGACCATGGACTATGTCCTCCTCTGAGTACGGGGGATGACAATGTGTCTGGATCTTATATGAGGAGCTGGAGTTTAGCAATAAGTTACTTCCACTTAAACATCTGCAGAGGAGCTGCTCAGTCTTACTTCATGTCTCTGCTTGGCATTTGACACTCACCATTATGGTTGTTACATCACTACATTTCATTGTTTTGTCATTACATCATTGTTCCCCCGGACCTGCAAACACTTAGCTGCTCTCTGCATGCACCTGAAAATGTTATCCCTCCATGGACTCCTTTCCAGT